CCTGCGTCAGCCACGCCAGGGATGCTCACCGAAACCATCGCACCAAAAACGCCACCAGTTCACACACGTCCGGTCCAATCCCGTCCAATACACACACGTCGCGTCAACCTCAATCCACCTGCCGGTCTTCCAAACAAACCGTCTCTCCGGCGAGGACAGCAGCGATGAGTCCGCCACCGACGCGCCCGGGCCCGGCCACGGGCGCCGGGCGGGGCTCGTCGTACGGAAGCCGCCGGAGCAAGCGGACTCGGCAGAGGTGAGATGCCCAGAGTGGGAGCAGTGGAGCGGCCGCACGTGGTGCTGCGAGTGGCGTTGTTGTTGTTGTTGTGGTGGGGGTGGTGGTCGTCATGGTGGTGGTGGTCGTGGTGGTGGTGGTGGTGGTGGTGGTCGTCGTCGTCGTCGTCGTCGTCGTCGTCGTCGTCGTCGTTTTTGTTTGTTTCGATTGAAAACACACTTGAAGCTTGATGAAGCGTGTAATTATGGCCTTGTAGAATCTTATGATATCTCATGGATGTTGAGGAGCCAGACCCAGCCAGACTGACGACTTTTGTCTACTGTATACATACATAGAGCTTCGTGAAGGGCGCAGCAGCAACAGACCATGACCACTTCACAGCCAGTCAGCGACTCTAATGACGTAATATGATCTCAGAAGGTTTTACCCTCTCCTTGACTCTTTTAGTTCTGGCACATATGATGAGAAGATGCTTTTGGGGGCCCAAGCAATTGCCAATGTGTCTTCCCATCAATCCCGTTCCACTTTGAGCAACAAACCGTGTTTATCCAAGTCAAGCCCGCGGAAAAGCCACGAGTTCGAGTCCTGGAGAGTGACCTTTCGACTCGGAGCGACTCGAGAAACCCCAAAATCTCCGGCCACATCGGGCCCTGATTTCCCGTTTTAATCGCTTGGACCGCCCAACTGGGACCCCGAAGCTCCCGTTTCAACGGTTTCAAACCTCGCTCAATGGTCCTTTGGCGCCCGACCCGTCGAAGCGTGGCGTTTCGGAAGGGCCAGCTGTTGTTGGAAGCCTTCCGACGTTACGATCGGCTGGAAGAAGGTGGGGCCATCAGCGTCGATCGGGGGCCGCCGTTTGAGTCGGCCGCTTAGACGTTCGCGAGGAAACGACTCGTGACGTACCTGGATGCCCTTTGGAAGACGATGTTACCAACATGCTGCGCAGCTGAAAGAATTGAGAGGCAACTGAAAGAGAGCAACCTTCGTGGATGCGATGTGGCAGCTTCTTTTTTCTGAGGAAGGATAACATCATGACATCCCACAGGATTCACCGTTTTGTCCGTTCGATGGTTTAAACATTCTCTTAAGTTTTACATCATCAAACGTGTTGCAGGATGCGGGATTTCTATCAACACTATTCAACGGTAGTTTCCGGTCGCATTCATTTGGAGTATGGGGTCTCTCCAAGCCAAAGGGGAGTTTGGACCCCACAGACCTTATCCACTTCCGTCGACACCCCACTCCCTGCGATTGGGTCAATCATCTACGACCGGGCCGATTCTGGGGTTCACGAGACCAGGCCGATGAATTCACATGACCATTTGTTCCAGGATGCCGTTTCAGTTCTTGCTCAGTGAATTCATCATCCATCACTTGTGGGAGATGTGTTTTTTTCATGATTTTTCCACTTGTCACTTGCGGTCTTTCCTCTTGCCAGGCATCCTTTGCATGAAGGATGTGAGAAGCTGTTTGGCAGATATCGGCATCCATCCGAGTCTTCCTCCGGCAGGGAGACCCAGGGACCGAGAAGAAGTCGATCCGGTGGTTGATCCGGTTGGGGTGCTTTTTGAACGGGAGACGAAGAGGGAAGACTGGGAATGTGAAACTAATTGATGTCATTGGCGTGTTGTTTTTTTCCCAAGTTAGTTCAGTCTGTGAAATTCCCTGAAATCGCCCTGAAAGAAGGATGGAAGTGGTGTTACGTGGATGGCATTGCCCCGATTTCGGAGGACCCTAGCTCCCAAATACCAAGCAGGCGGTTGAACTCTGCTTCCATGATTTCAGGGAGTCGTTCTTGAACATTTCAGGATCCTTTTGGGTATGATGAGAGGACGATGGGATCGCCACAGGAGGGATCATTGATCCTGGGGATGAATACTTGGAGCCCTGGTCCACCATTGTAGCGAACGACCTCCCCAGTCTATTGTGCTCAATTGGGGTACAACCAAGGTATCTCATAGGTATCCCGGTTTTGATGGTGTACACCCCAGAAGCGATGGCCTCCACCCTAGAAGCGATGGCCTCCAGATCATTCTTATCATTGCATGATTGCATGGTGTTCCAAGTCTTCAGCTGATGGAAGACACTTTGGGAGTCGCCAGCGGGCCAGCGGTCCGAGGAAAAGCGCGCAGTGACAGAGGTGCTAATGAGTGCTCAACCAGTGCAGTACCAGGAGGAGTGCTGACTGGGAGCGGGTTCGGCTTATGGAGCAGTTTCTTCAGAAAAGCCAAAAAGACATGTGAGATGGACCATAGCATCTCGCTATGCTTCAGTGTTTGATGGGTTCCAAGAAGCTCAAAGACGTGGGGGTGGCGCAGAGAGGCTGTTTCTTTGCAGAGTCCAAGAACCACTGCGAGAAAGGCTTCGGAAGGATAAATGCCAGCAATTCCTACAATAGGAAGCATGCTACAGTTTGAGGGTTTCGGATAGTTCTTGAACAGCTCTTTCTTGATCGTGCCTATAGACTTGTTGATTTTCTTGGCGCCCTTCCCATGGACGGGTGAGTTGATGGTTGACCCGCGGACGCGGGTGGTGAACTTCCGTTTTCCCAGAACTCCCGCAACTGGACTCCTGAACTGGCCCACCTCAGGTTGGATGATTTCCTCCCGCAAACCAACATGGAATCTGAGAATTCACCGGTGGTTTCGACCATTTTTCTCTACAACTCAGAGGTGAGATTTGTCACGCACATCCATCATATATTTCGTTGGACATACCGGCCAATTTCGGGGGGATGGCAGCGCACTGGAGCGCACTCGACGACTCGAGTTGACGCGTGTGTTTGTTGGTTCGGCAGAATGGCTTGGACTTCTATGTCATCATGACATTGGTCCCCAAGATCTGGGAGGCCGATCTCTGCCATCGTGATGGGGCAGCGCAGATCGGGGCGCCAGGTCCAGCGACCTTAAGGGGAGGTGATTTAATTTCGGGTTGGCCCATGATGCGTTGGATTTTTAGGGGGGAGGCGGCGCGCAGGGTCATTGGCGTCCATGGGCTGGCGCATGACTACAATGGCTGCACTGCGGCTGCACCGGTGAAATCAGAGAAGGAGAAGCAGTTTCGGGTGTTTGGAGTTTGGTGAATCCAGTGCTTCTTGCTGACTCGTGGAACAGTGGAACCCTTCAAACAGATTCGAACAGATGCCCTGGAAATGCTCGGATGATATCTCATGGTCCGTGTTTTGGGTGCTGGGAAGGCCTCCACGAGCATCCGTTTGCATCAACGATCCTGTTGGAGCGACGCTGCAACGTGCACTCGACGCTGTAAACATGTCAACGCCGGACATGTGTGGCAACCCTTCCCACAAAACCCCTACAAACCATCAAAGACCTGGTTTTCCCATGCTTTCTCTAGCATGGTCTTTTATGATTGTGAAAACTGACCACCTCCATTTCTCAGGGGTTCGAGGGTGGTCCACACCGAAAAAGCCCCCCACCGCAGGCGATTGCCACCGCCAAACGACAGGCGGGTGCCCCGGGCTGCCACGCGAGAAAGCTCACCCCGCGCTGCCAGTCTTTCTCCTTCTCTGAGTGTTGTGGAGCACAAACCTGTTCGATCTTGGCTCTTGACCAGTTACGTATCTGAGATGGAATCATTTCCTTCAACGGAGGATCAGGGTGGCTTCGTGCTTTTTCGGCCATGTGGTTGCCAAAGAGGTGACTTTGATCCGTTCTTTCTTTTCCTCTTTTCTTTACTTTTCTTTCCCTGGGTCCTTGGAAACCAAAGTTCACGCAACCATGCGATGGTCTGAAGAATTTCATTGTCTTCCAATGCCATGCCATCCACTTCCATTTCATTCTTCAGAGGACTTGGAGTATTGGTTCAGCCGGTCACTGGACGAGCCGCCAGCTCAGATCTCGCGTTTGCGCGAGAAACGCGTGAAACGCGCGAAACGCTTTCGACTTACTTGCTCCCAAAATATACGTGGAGGGGGCAAAACCTCACCATATACAAACCCTTGGGAGGTTGACATCCCTGAGAAAAAACAGCCATGCTGTATGACCAAATAGACTGAGACAAGATAGACGATGATGTTCCTTGTGCCACCTTCGCTGTTTTCCGAGACCCTGTTGTCTTTGTTCTTCATTTTTTGGAAAATACGTTTACACAAACCACAAGGTCCGCAATGGGATGAGGCAGACCCAAGGGAAACAGTTAGCAGAAAGACCGCTGAAACGACATGAGTCGCCAGCAACAACCATTCAAAACCATCCAAGAGCTACCTACAATTACCTGGAAACCCAAGCAACCCGAAATCATTGGTGGATCTTGGTGGCATTTCGGCACTTGAGATCCTTTATCAAAGGAACTGGCTGTTGGGGGAAGCATCCAAGTGCTTCAAGGTGCTACAAGTTGTATTCGAAGGCGCTACAGTGCTCGGTGACGGAGCTGGGTGTGCTTTTCGCTTGGTCCACCGCCTGCGCCGCCGAGCTCGAAGCGCCCGAAGAAGCGCTAAACTCCCTGTTTCGAAAGAGCTCCAAGTGCCCGTGCGTTTGGCCATTTGTCGTGGAATTCGATGCGACTAAACTCTTCCAAACAGTCTCAACATACCTTGGATCCAATCGTGCAACATGTCTGCCTTTTCATCTCAAACACCAGCCAAATTCCAGCCAAGCAGATGTGTTTTTTCGAGTTTATTTTCGTAGTTGGAAGATTCAGCGGTCGGTGAGTCTGAGTCGCAATATGGTGTTCAACCAACCCGAGAGAAAAAAGGAACCACCCGTGCCCCCACCACGAGAGCAGGCAGGCAGGTGGCTCCGTGTATGGCAGGCAGGTCGACTTGTTTTGTTGGATTTGTCCGTGCATGGCATGGCGCACTACGAGACCTTGAAGGTGTCCCCGAAGTCCTCAGCCAAAGAGATCCGCGAGGCCCGGATTTCCGGGGTTTGCACGTTTTGCACGGGCGTCAGGGGTTTTGTTCTACCCAACTCGGTCAAGTGAGACCAACTAACAACCCTCAACTAAAGACCATTGCAGTGAGGGTCCTGGCAAAATGGCGGGGGAGAGTCGAGGGTGTTCTATTTTGGAGGGGCGGTGTTTTTGACGCGCAGGGATCGGGATGGTCGATGGGCCAGTTGCTTTTTTTTGGTGGTGCCTGGAACCTTTTTCTTAGGAAATGGCTGTTTGGGAAAACATCCATTTCTTTCTGGTTGTCTGATGTTTTTTTTTGGGTGGTTCTGAGTTTTGGGTTTGCGAGAGTGTGGGATTGGTGTTCTTTGGTGCAGAAATCCGCATTCTCATTGGCCTCGAAGACGGTGATTCTGAGGTTGAGCTGAGCTGAGCAGAATAATATACCTAGATCTTCAGTCCGGCACTTTTACAGGGTCCGGCGCCGGACTTCCAACTCCGGCGTTTTTCTGGATTTGGTCCGGCGGTTTTTCCAAGTCACTTGAAATGTGGATTCTCAAGGCTTTGCATTCTTTGTGGCTTGCATTTCTTTGAAGGTAATGATTTGCTTGCAAAGTGTGCTCATTTGCCTGTTCCGCTGTTTTCTCATTCCACCGGTTTCAGCATGGTTCACACTGGATCAATCAGATCCGTTTAGGTGATCTTCTAAGTGAAATCGGATGAAATTGGTACAGTGCGATGCACGTGTTGAAAGACCCAAGTGGGAGTACCTAAGCTGAAAGAACATAGGCAAAGATGTACTCCCACTGTTTCAGGATGTCGGGGCGCTGGGATATAATTAGTTCTAGTTGCGCAGGTTTGCAGAGCCTGCCGGACAAGTTTTGGGCTGTGGAACATGTGTTGTTCGGAATCTCAATGTTTTGCAGAGAGTTGCTAAGAAAAATTGCACGTCGTAACTCCGGCGTTTTTTTCCCGTAACTCCGGCGTAATTTCCCGTAACTCCGGCGTAATTTCCCGTAACTGCGGCGTACTTTGTTGGACTATGTTGGACTCAGTCTTTTGAATTTTGAAAAGTTTTTCAACTAAGAGTTTCGACAGGAACCATGAGTGCTGCTACTTTATTGGCGGGGCCGTCCTGAGGCAAGCTATAAAAAACAATTTAAAACCATATAAATCATGGAGAGCCACTTTGTAAAAAAGAATTAGAGACACGGGTGCAGAGAAATAGGGGTTCCTTGCCACATACTCCTTGGTTTCTTCTTGGAAGTCTTTGCTTGGGCACAAGTTTGCTTATATTTTGTGATGGTTCTGCTCTTAGGCCATTCGGAAGATGGGCGAGGGCAATGGGAACGGGAAGGCTCCAGTGCTGGGTTGTGGAATGAGTGTGTTCCAGAAAAAACTACTTGTGGCGCAAAGGCAGTTTGCTTGTGTATGATCCAGCCTTTTATCATCTCTGTTTTTCAGAATCTTGGATCCGGATGTTTTTTCAGGTCTCCGGCGGTTTTTTTCGGAATCCGGCGGAAAAATTTGCCGGATTGAGGTCCGGCACTTTTTTCCGCCCAAAGGAGGATCCAGGTATAGATCAATACTTCCAGGAATAGAGTATACCAGATCAATAAGGACTTTAGGGATTTTCAACTTCTGAAGCATTTGAAGTTTCTGCAAAAAGAACCGTTTTGGAATCTATAGTTAGCTGGTGGTTTGGAGGAAACTGGGGTATCCAAGCTCTTTGAAACTAACAGGAAGCGAAGGAACTACAGGGAGTTCCCTTAACACTCCTTGGACCCCTTGACATGAACAGCCCACCAGATCCACTTGCATCATCTAAGACTACCTGTTGTGGTCGAAGGGAGAGCCCTCCATCCCATCCTCTTCGGCTTTGTCGTTTCCAGTCACACCAGGCCTACCTGCAAGGAGTTCGACGCTATCACCCGGACGTCAAGGGGGACCAAAGGAAGTTCCAACGGCTTCAGGAGGCCGATCGGCTGATCGGATCGCGATCGCGGATCTCCACGGAGAGCGTGTGTTCCACGGTGGGGAAGTCCGCTGAGGTGATAGGACACGGCCATGTCTCCATGTCTGCGTCAATCAGGTTGTTCAACCTTCCCTAGGGCTCCGAGGACCTCAGAAGGTATTTGGACCCTCCTGGCACCCACCCCAGTCCCACCTTCTTAGAAGGTGTTTGGAGCCCGAAACGGGCTGCCTAGGGCTTGTAAGAGTCCACAGCCTGCCATGTCGGTGTGGCAGTCGATCTCGACTCCCTCAAAGTTGGACTCTAAAAGGGTTTTTCAATTGGACCCCCAACAGGACAGCGGTACTTCAATTCCAGGACAGCCGCACCGAGATCCGGAACCTAAGGGAGGTCCGTGTGGTCGCACGGAGGTGAGAGAGTCGGGGCCCCGCGTCGTCGGGTCGTGGTTCTGTGATGGTCGGAAATCGACCGTTGTGACCATCCGAAGTACCAAAAAACAGATCAACTTGTTTAACTAGGGAGACCAGACCCCTGAAGACGACCAACAAAAAACAACCAAACTCCTGATGGGTGGTAGTCTCCCCAAAAACTCCTATATTCAAACAAAAACCCAAGTGTCTTGTTCCCTATGACTCTATTGGCGCCTCCGGAGTGCGAGCAGTGCCATTGGAGTGGAGCGGCGGTCGATGATGAACACCGAAGAACAAAAGGTATGAGTTTGGCTACAAAATCGATAAGTGCCATTTCCCCTCCGCCCCAACAACAACGACGACAACAACAACAACAACAATCGAGCTCCATTGGCCAAGCGTCTGCCCTTCGAGGCGCCTTCAAGCGAAATTGGCGCCTTCAAATTACGTCCACCGTCCACCCGGTGACCGGAGCGACGCGTCACCGTGAGGCCTACGACGTCCTGGGTGATCCGCTCCGGCGCCGCGCCTACGACCAGCGCGACGCGGAGCCTGGAAGGGGAACAGCGAGCAGCGCAGGAGGTGGGCAGAAAGGGCGTCTACGGGGGTGATGTTTTAAGATATATGTCGAATCAGGTAGAAGATGGAGGGAGGATCTATATATGCAAGCTGCAAGCTTGTACGTCGATGACGCTGGTTTGATTCTAGGACAGAAGATTATATATAGGACTTTTGGATGGGAATGACGCTAGAAGTCCAGTGCGACGATCTTTCTTTTGCCCCCATACTTCAGTTTTCTCGCACGTTCCTTTTGGGGATCGTTGGACCGGACGTTTTGCCATTTGGGCGAGTTCAACACCTTCGCCCAACCGCCGACAGCCAAGTCCCCTTGGTCGAGACCGAAAAACGCGTGTTCCAGGCGACCCGAGGTCGACTCGATCGAAGACCAGCAATGCAGGAGAGTCGAGCGGGTCGCGTTTTCTTGGATCTCACGCGGTGACTGATGTCAGAATGCTGAACATGCCAGACATAGCTGCATGCGGTTGAACCCGATAGGCTATCCTATAGGTACCCTGTAAGGTCCTATAAGGTCACTTAACCTCTGTAGGTAGTGCAAGAAACGACCCGAAAGACGGGCGATTGCCCAGGGTTGCCGTCGGGTGGTCTTTGGGGCCCAGGACGGCAGGCCGCGCCAGAGTGGGCCAAGAAGGGACAGAATGAGGCGAGATGGTTTTTGGGTCGAAATCAAGTCCCCAACAATCCCTTGGAATATTGACCTGCGACCTGTGAAATTTGCCCAACATCGATTCTTTTGCTTCCCGAACCTCGTAACTGAGGTTCATGCCGCACGTCTGCTAGAAAAAAGCGATGGCAGATTCGTGGTTCTGATTACGTTCGGGTTCTTGCATCTTCATGTCCTATGTCTTTTTCCACTGAACTTGCATGGCTAGTAGGTTGGAGGCCATCGCTAGTAGGTTGGAGGATGCCACGGCTGAACTCACTCAGCCGCTCTGTCACACTGGGCCAAACCCAGTCTGCCGGACTGGACCTCGTCAAACCCGCACGGTTCTCCCAACTCGTCGCGTGATTCACGCGTGAAACACGTCCCGTCGTGGTTCGACCAGTTCGCACAGACCGAAAGGAAGTCGTCCGTCGTCCTGTTTCTGTCATTCTAGACAGCTTAAAATCTCTTACCAGCACCACCCAAAGGGTGGTTTATAGACCCCCTTGAAGATGCGTGTTTTCCATCTAATAGCCCTTTGGAATGGTGCTGGTAGATATGTCAGATATGAAAAAAGCCTGCTCACACATGGATTGAACCTCTGAAGGGCCTCAAGGGTTATCGCTCAACTGGCGGGTGGCGAGTGGCATTGCCCAAGGCGTGGGATCCCTGCTCAGTTTCCGAAATGGCGGAGGTGTGGGGATTTGGATGGATTTGGTATTTTCGTAAGTGAATCCGCTTGTTGTCGGAATATGTATAATATGTCTATACATTTGCTCAGATGGACCCCAAATCCAAGTGAAGCATGCCGTGGGGTCTCAAAATTGCCTGGTGTCCTTCTAGTGGATACTACTTTGAGAGCTGCTCCCGACCCTGAGAAGTGGGTCACCTGCCCCAAACTTTTTTGGGGAATTGGTTTCTCCACTCAAGAAGAACGGAAAAAGGCTAGCCTCGAGCCTCTGTTTTCCAGAGAAAGCAGGGAGACTCTGAAAAATCAGATTCTGCCAACCCGGCAGGCGCTGCGATGGTACCGGATGCCAATCCCAGAGTTCGCTTGGAATGTGCACCTCGTTTGGTGCCGAGCTTTCAACCGACCGCAGGTGCATTCACCCGTGTTCTGGACGTGGGGGACGTGGGGGACTTGGGATGGTGAGGATATGTTTTTGGTATACCCTGCCGTGGTTATAGTCACACACTCGGTGCAATGCGGACTTTGTTTCTTTTTTTGATACCGAAGGCCCACTTATGGCGGTTTTGTTGGGCTACAAGATGCAGGAGAGGACACGCCGAAATAACTATTCGGATGCTACCTACTATTATTAGATGATCCTGCATTTAGTCATTTATATATACCGACATCTAGAATTATATATTGAATTAAGACCTTCGCATCTGTACCAGACCAGGATGAAAACATCTCACGGAAGACCTTCCAGGGATTTAGAATTCAACTCCTGTGTGAAAGCAAGTGGAGAAATCATGCAGGTTAGGGAAAGCCACCAAATTAGGCAAGATCGAGGTCTTTCTCCAGCTCTATGAATAATTCTGAAGCTCACCTTGGGATTCCAGATTCCGCTGTTTTCATGGTGTTTTCTCATCCCAAAGAACCAAACTATAGGTCAACCAAACTACGGGTTTTACACTACAAAAAGAACAGGTCCACCGAACTGGTGGTGTTTCCAGGCACCACTATAGGGCACCACTACTGACGATGTCTGCTTCTGTCAGATGTCGCAAGCCGCCTTCACCCAATGGATGCGGCAGCAGTACCGCGCCTCCCGCACGAGCGACGGCGGACTTCTCCGGAAGGCGCCGGTCGCGGGTCGCCGGGTCAAGGGTCCGATGCAGCGAAACGCCACGTCGACCGAAGGATGCCGTGCGAACACGCGTGCAGAACACCAAAGGGTGAGGAAGTCTCAATGGTGGAGTGTGTTTTTCTTTTGAATCAGTGAACAAAGAAGCTTGGCGTCCTGCAGTGAGTTGCAGCCGCCCTGTGGATCACAGGCATGGAAGATGAAGGAACCAGAACTTTCTTGGTCAGCCTAAGGCTTGGAATGCCTTTGAGTCTTCCGTAAGCAGTCGTGACCAATCCGGGCCCTCAACTACAGTTTGGTTCGGCTCTGACCCCTGCGAAGAGGCAAAATTCCGAGCCCGGCCAGGACCCACACGGATTCTTATTGTATACAATATATTAAAAATATTATGGGGTACCCCTACAGGTCTTAGGGACCTCATTTGACTGGGTCCGGGAAAATGCAAAACCAGCATTTCATTTTTCGGTTTTCAGGAGGTTTAACTTGGTCCGACTGGACTTGTACCCGTACTCTTTATAGTGGTTGGCCTGGATCGCGCTGGGCGGAACCCCGTGATGGAGACCTGGTGGTTTCTCTCCCAACGACAGCACTGCCTAACGGAGTACGAACGGACCCTATCCGTTCGCAGCGCGCCGAACGAGATGAAACTCATTGGGATAGTCTGATTCCGCTGGATCAGCTTCCGCCGATTCAGCTTGGAGAGAGCCATTGTTAGTTTCTCCACGTCGCACTCATCCAGAAACCTGAAAACCGTGCGCGATTGGGACCAAGCAATTTTCAACAAAAGCCTCAGGGTTTTAAGAGTGGACACATACTCCGATGCTCTGAAGAGAGCCCGCTGCACTGAGGGCAGAAGGCTGCCTGCTACCTGAAAGGATACACACCGAGGGCAAACGACTAGCAAACGACTTGTGCTAAGCCTAAAGAATCAGGCGCGAACTCCAAAAGCATAGGGTGTAGATCAAGAACGTCTTCCACACGCCAGTGTCGGTCAAAGACATGAAGAAACCGGCTACCTGAACCCTCCTAAGTACCCTAGAAAATGGGACATGACGGAGTACTTCGAAGGTCCAGGTAGCATCAACCCTCCAGGTCTGAGGTCTTCGCACCCTCCCCTGACTGTCCGAAAAGGGGTACTCAACCAGATCCTCAGTCCTTTTGAGTCCTTTTGGTTTAGAACAGATTTTTGGTACTAAACCAGTGAGGCTTAAACCTAGCAAAAGACCTCAGGTTTCCGCCGAGTCCCCCGAAAGCCATCTGAAAACGCCCCGCGACACCGACACCAACCACCACCAGGCTGGCGTGTTGCTGCTGGACGTCTCGGCCGAGGCGGTGCGTCAGCTCCGCCTGCGCTTGGCACGAGGGTCGGAGCTGCTCGGGTCGACGTGGTCGGAGATGGGGAGCTGGTAGGTTGGAGGCCATGGCTGGTAGGTTGGAGGCCATGGCTGGTAGGTTGGAGGCCATGGCTGGTAGGTTGGAGGCCATGGCTGGTAGGTTGGAGGCCATCGCTGGTAGGTTGGAGGCCATCGCTGGTAGGTTGGAGGATGGCTGGTAGGTTGGAGGCCATCGCTGGTAGGTTGGAGGATCGCTGGCCATCGCTGGTAGGTTGGAGGATCGCTGGTAGGTTGGAGGCCATGGCGGGTAAAGGTTGGAGGCCATCGCTGGTATAGGTTGGAGGCCATCGCTGGTATAGGTTGGAGGCCATCGCAGGTATAGGTTGGAGGCCATGGCTGGTATAGGCTGGAGTTCATCGCTGGTATAGGTTGCAGGCCATCGCTGGTAGGTTGGAGGCCATCGCTGGTATAGGTTGGAGGCCATCGCTGGTATAGGTTGGAGGCCATCGCCGGTATAGCTTGGAGGCAATCGCTGGTATAGGTTGCATGGCTGGTAGGTTGGAGGCCATTGCTAGTAGGTTGGAGGCCATGGCTGGTAGGTTGGAGACCATAGCTAGTAGGTAGGAGGCCATCGCTGTTAGTTGGCGGCCATCGCATGGCTGGTAGGTTGGAGGCCATCGCTGGTAGGTTGGAGGCTATGGCTGGGAGGTTGGAGGCCATCGCTGGTAGGTTGGAGGCCATTGCTAGTAGGTTGGAGGCCATGGCTGCTGGTAGGTTGGAGACCATTGCTAGTAGGTAGGAGGCCATCGCTGGTAGGTTGGAGGCCATGGCTGGTAGGTTGGAGGCCATCGCTGGTAGGTTGGAGGCCATGGCTGG